TGGGCTCGGAATCACTTGCTGGCGCGAAGGTAAGAGGAAAGGCTTTGCAGACTTGCACGTTTGTGCGTCGACGACTTCATCTTGATCTTATCTCCAGCAAACGAGTCGCACGAGCGCGAAGAGTTGTTTGGCAGGTCATTGGCGGCATGTTCAGGAGCGAGCGAGACTGCTCGAGTCCTCCTGAATGACAAGCGTCGCCCTATCGACCTCAGACTTCCAAAGCTGTTTCGCCTCGACCTTGCCTCCGGCTGCGGCGCACCAAACTCCGACCAGTCAGCCGCTCCTCCGTACTGACCATCCGCTCGTTGTTGCCAACTGTGCAAAGTGGGAAAAGCGTTTGGCCCATGTCCGCTGAAATTCCTGCTTTGACGTCCATTGTCTGACCCCCGCGCCATCTCGGCTTTCCAGCTAGCGGCGACATTGTGCGCAGGTCGACGTCGCGGAACGTTAGCCTTCGGATGCGCTTCCAAGCTCCACGGCTCAAAGGTGCTGACCGTCGGAGGTGCAGAAGGAGCATGCGGCTCCAGCTCCACGCTTCCTGGTCCTGTGCATCCTTTCCACAACTTGGACTCGCTTCCGTTGCTCAAGCTCTGCTGCGATGCCAAAGTGGTCATTGCGGTCATCGCTACAGAGGTCTGCGTCGAAGGAGCAAGCGTGGCACGTCGAGACCCAGGCGAGGCGCCAGGGTCCGACGGACGACCCGTCATTCGACGGAACAAGCGCCGAAGCCTACCCGTGCTGGTTCTCGTATCAATCTCGTGCGACTCGGGTGCAGGAACAGCAGTCAAGCCGAGGGCAGAGTGGTTGGAAGATGACGACGTCATGGCTGTGCTCGCGTATTCTGACGAGCTCAGATTGTGAGCAGAGCTTTTAGGTGCCATGGCGCTGAGTGTACGTTTGCGAGCGCGGTCTGTGCCAGTTGCAGGCTGCGTAGCATGGCGAGCATTCCGCTCCGATCGCCTTTCCATGCTTTCTCCCCCGTGCCGCTGAGAATCTGGGAAGTCTACCGCTCCGCCTGCGCTGTGCGGCGCCGGCGCAACGCTGCTCAAAAGTGCCGATGATTCTTCAGTATGAACAGTACGCCTCTTTGGACTGCTCGGTTCT